AACTGAAGTTGTATCTTCAATACAGCACTGATACGTTCAATATTATATTTGAGCATAAATACCATATATGGTAGAGTTTACAATTTGTAAGCTCGAGAAAAACTCATTTAAGCAGTATTTTAAAATTATGTGTTTCAAGACGTTGGGAACTACCATTGTAAAAATATTTTATTGCAGATAAGAAATGTCTGTAGTTCTCATGAAGTGCTAAAGATTGTTTGTTCTATTGTACTTCTTCACCTCGATTTGTATTTTTTTCCACAGCAACTATAATTATTGCGGGACGCGATTCTTTTTCAGTTATGTAAAACTTAAACTTATTTAAATAAAAAAACTATTTTATTTCTTTCTTTTCCGACATTTTTATACTCTCGCAACCTGTTGCTACAGAGTATAATAGTTTTGTTCACCTAACGGTTGTTTGTATCACCTAAAACTAATCGAGTTAGATATAGGGTTATATATATATAAATGATCAGGATGAAGAGACGAGTTGAAATCCGGGTGACTGTCTGTCCGTCCGTCCGTCCGTCCGTGCAAGCTCTAACTTGAGTAAAAATTTAGATATCTTTATGAAACTTGGTAGACATGTTTCTTGGTACCGTGAGACGGTTGGTATTGCAGATGGGCGTAATCGGACCACTGCCACGCCCACAAAACGCCATTAATCAAAAACAAATAACTTGCCATAACTAAGCTCCGCAATAAGATACAAGACTGTTATTTGGTACACAGGATCACATTAGGGAGATGCATCTGCAGTTAAAACTTTTTTTAACAAGTGGGCGTGGTCCCGCCTCTAATAGGTTTAATGTGCATATCTCCTAAACCGCTAATGCTATAATAACAAAATTCACTAGAACCAAATGTTTTTAGCACTTCTATTGACGGTGTGAAAATAGTTGAAATCGGGTGGCAACTCCGCCCACTCCCCATATAACGGTACTGTTAAAAGATGGTATAAGATGACTTTATAGGAACCGCGTTCAAAATTAGTCAGTGGGCGTGGCACAGCCCACTTTTAGGTGAAAACCCATATCTTGAGATCTGCTCAACCGATTTCAACCAAATTCGGTGCATAACGTTCTTTTCGTGTTTCTATGTCATAGTGCGAAAATGGGCGAAATCGGACTACAACCACGCTTACTTCCCATGTAACACCATTTTCAATTCCATCTGATTCTTTCACTTTCCACTATGCAAATCAGGTAACAATGATTATATCGGGGTAAAACTTTGCGTGAATAATGCAATTAAAGTATGCCACCTTGCGGCCAAAAATTGTCTAAATCGAACCAAAACTGTTCAAACCCCTAAGTACTAAATATATGGACCCCATTGCCTATAGTTGACCTTCTACCGAAAATATCAGTCAATCCTTAAAGAAATCTCAAACGAGTATACCATTTGACTTTGCGAGAGTATAAAATGTTCTGTTACATCCGAACTTAGCCCTTCCTTACTTGTTGAACATGTTTTTTGTGCATTCAAAATGTTTGCTGTAAGACATAACTGTTACAACCCCTTTTATAATTGCTATTGATAGCAATCTCATTAAAATCCTTAAAATACTCTCTAATTTTCGAATCACGTTGCGACCGTCAATTAAATATTTGTAGTAAAACAAATAATGAAAGTCAAACAATTCATGGAAATTGCCGCCACACAATTTTAATTATCTATTTTTACCACACGACCCGCTGGGTGTGAGCAATACGTCAACTGTCAATTTGATAGATGTAGTTGTTATGCACAAACACATAACGGCAATATGTAGAAATAATTCATATAAAAGTCACATAAAGCAAATAAGTTTATTTGTCTGACAATTGCAGGTCACACACAACAATAATTACGGGCTCAACATGTGGCGGGGTTGCGCCGTGCTGACCCGACTCAAAAAAGGTTGCACGTAATGAGGGTACACATAAGTAACTATAAAGAGCAGTAATGCGGGCTTCAAAAGGAATATAATAATCAGCGAAAAAAGCAACAACAATAATTGAAAGACGCCGCGTATCTATCAACAAAGTCAGTCGTGCGTGTATAGTCGGGCGTAGACGCAGAGAATACAAAATGAACTGTTATTTGTTGGGCTCATGCATTACGGGTATTTTTTAAGTAAGTCTCGTTTTAATATAAGAAATTTTGGCAAACTGATTTCAATATGTACAGAAAGCGGTCGGACGTTTTGAGAAATTAATTGAAGTCGCTGACAGACTATCCAGAAATTGGCAGAGGGAAAAACGAAATGTATATAAGTATGCTAGAAATTAATGACTCACAAAGGAACTTAATATTGAAATATTATATATATTGTATTTAACATTATAACTTTTCTCCGCTTTTACTTACGTTTCTTCGGTTGCCCTTCATGAGAAGTTATCTGATTAGAGAACTCACCATTTCACTATCACTTATAGTTTTTCTATGTGGTTTGCGCTCTTAAAAGAATTGAGAATACAGATGAAAACTATGATAGCGCCTAAAGCTATGCTGCATAATTTAGTTCTACAAGGACTGCCGTTTTATGATACTTTTTTTTTTTTTTTTTTTTGTAAGTAGGGGAAGCATCGAAAACCGAAGTGCAGAACTTTAATCCGCTAAACCTAACCTACACTAAAGTCTCCTCTATGGTACGGACCGACGGACGCCCAATCTGTTCTATCTGACTTAGTTTTGTCATGATTGAGGCTACCGCTCCTAGTTCTCAATGGACTGACACATGAGTGTTGTCAAATTTTCCACCGTAAAACTACCACCATGTGTAGGGTGATTTTTCCTTATAATTACAAAGCAAGGACAGTAAAATAATACATGTTCAGAGTCTTCTATACACTCTGTACACGTAGAAGAGTTCGGACTGGTGTCGCGATGGAATCTGTACAGGGAGCTTCTAAAGCACCCATGTCCACTTAATATTTGGGTAAGGTGAAAATCCAGGTCCTCATGTTGTTTGTCTATCCACGATCGGATGTCCGGTATCAGTCCATGGGTCCATTGTTCTTTGGGTGAGGTTTGCCGCCGTTGCTGCCACATTGTCATGCTTTTGTTTCTCTCTTCTTTTTTGGATTCGTTAGATGTCTCTGCTGATAACTTGTATACTCGCGCGAATTCGTCATCCTGGATGTCAATGGGCATCATAATGGCTATTACTTTAGCAGCCTCGCTTAATATCGTTCGGAAAGCATTGATTACTCTTAGTAGTGCCGACAGCCGGTGCAGTGTGTTAATTTGTTGGTATATGCTTTAACGTTTAACTCCTGAATCCATATTGGGGCGGCATATAATAACATAATAAAATATAAGTTACAACCGATCTCATTAAATTTGCGAGTAAAAATCGCCGGCTGGAACGCACGCAGCCTGTATTTGCCATTATTCTTGATAAGGCTTTGAGGATTTTGCTTGCTTTACCCGAGGTGTATTCTAAGTGCTCCTTAAATTTAAGCTTTGTGTCTATTATTACTCCCAGGTACTTTAGCTGTGGTTGTGATTGAACCTCACATTCCCCTATTATGACATATATTCTTTCCTTCACTTTCTTAGTACTTATTAGGACGACTTCTGTCTTGTGCTCAGCCAGTACTAAGCTCCTTGAGATCCATTGCCGCAGACTGTTTACGCATTCATTGCATTTGTTCCGGAGGTCATCTAGGTGTTTAGCTACTGCTACCACTATAAGGTCATTTGCGTATGCGATTAGCTTTTGTTGCAGGCAATGGCTGATTTTAGAAGCTTCTTTTGTGTTTTAAACATTTCTCTGAGGCTGTTTGCATTTTCCCCACATTGATTACGCTGTAGACGGCGTGTAGCTGCATTACAGAGCTTTCTCAGCGTAGCTATCTCTTCATTCCACCAATAGGCTGGCTTTCGTTTATTGTGGTGTACTATTGTGGTGTACATAGTTGCATCGCATGCTGCGACCAGCTTTTTCCGCACTGCGGATACCAAGTCAGTGGCTTCCTCGCTTGGGGTATTTGCTGAGCCCCAAACTATCTCAAAAAGGTCGGCATCAAACTTCTTTTGTTTCCAGCTACATTTTTGGCGAGTGCTCTTGCTGCGGGTTTCCGTCTCTCCGGAAAACGAAACATCAACAATAATAGCAATGTGGTCACTATTTGTAAATATATCCGACACCGTCCACTTTATGAGCCTACTTAGAGCGTCGTTTGCAAACATTAGATCGATTCTTGATCCTTTGTTTCCTTTTTGGAAAGTATTTTGCGTTTCGCTATTCAATATCGTAAGATTCGTCTGACTCAGGAGTTCTAAAAGCAGACGTCCACGATGGCTTGTGCGACGCTGGGTGTATTGCTCGCTTAGTAAAGCGACATAAATGTTTTCCTCAAATATTGTCTGTTTAAGCAGATCTTGTGCTGCAGCACAATGGTTTAAATTTAACTGCAGTATTCTCATTTTTCCAACGACTTTAAAATCCCAAAATACTTGGGGCAAGTCGTACTCAATACTGAGTGTACTCCTTTACAAAGCATGCAGCATGGGTCATTGGTGACTTCGCTACATGTCCACTGGCGCCCCAACGTGTGCATAGGGACGACTTTACCGCCGGGTTTAACCGTAGTATCGCCTTGATGTAAGGGCTGCTCTGTTTTATTTATGTTTTTTATATGTTTAGGCTTTTTTGTTGGTGTCGGTTGTTGTTGGTGTGTTGGCTAACTAAGTCGCGCATGGCTTGGTTTATATGCCTTTCTTCCTTAATTCCTTAATCTTACTACCTAACTGGTTAAAGATCTGGGTAGCTTCACTATTTTGTGGTTCTCCAGCAGGTTAGCCATTCCTATTGCCTGCTTAGCATTTCCACGCATTTTTGTTGATCCAGCAACGGTGGATAACTCATTTTTCCCAATAGGAGGCGTTCTCCTAATTTTAGAGTTCCTTTTAAATGGATTCTCTGGGGTGCACCTACTACTATTTTCAGAGGCCATACCTCAATGAGAAAATAGTTGGAAATACCTGAGAGTTAGTATGTTCAGTCATTGCCCCTAAAACTTAAAATATATCGGTAGTTGGCAAAGCCAAAACCAAATAGGGCATAGAAAAGGAGAAAAAGAAAAGGAGAACAGCTGATTGACCAAAACAAAACGGTAGAGCAAATTAAGCACACGTTGTTTTTGGATCGCCGTTTCAGGGGAAAAATAATTTCATTCCCAGCCAAAAATTTGCCGCGGAAAATATGCAAGTAAGTGCAAATAAACTTTAATTTAAAAATACATATTTTACTTATCTTTTCTGTAAGTTTAGCGTCCGTTTAGATTGTTTCGGTTTCCAAAAGTCACAAGGAAGAAATCACTTTAGTTGGCGTGGAAGAACTACAAGTATGAGATTTAAGAAAAACCCCAGGACCGCACCAAAAACACAACCACTTCACTTGAAATCAGTACTTGTTGATATTTATATATACAGGTATGTATTACATTTTCCTATAGGTAGAACATTGGGCAGAGATGGAAATGATATAGGCCTCCGCTGCGATATCTTCTAAACTGACAAACATTTTTAAGACAATTTTCCACTAACTCTTATGTATAAATCGGGTTATATGTAGAATGCTGTTATATGGCACTACCTTCTTATAGCACTAGCATTTAACCAATGTCAAACCAAAGTAAGAAGTTTTGATCGATATATAACCTCTTTAAAATCGGTATAATTTAAAAAAAATTTTTTTTGTAAATTCAGTACAGACTCGGCTTGGATTCATGTACATTTATTACGTCTTTTTGCACAATATATTTTTTTTTCTTCTAGCAGTTTATCTCCGATACATCTCACAAAATAAGTATCAGAGAGAGCGTAGTTCAGAAGGACATTTGATTGGTAGGGAGCTGTCAAAATAAAGCAGCACTGTAATTTATTTCTACATTAGAAAATTAACTATGACAGTAAGTTTTCGGCGTTAGAAAGTAACAATTTCGCAGGAGGCAACAATTCCGGAATCTTGAGAATCTTTGGGACTTGTCAGAACATAATTATTTATTTTTTATTAAAATACTAGTTTACTTCAAAATGATTTAAGCATTTCGGGTTTTCTTTTTAAACGTGTGGTTTTCAATGAGGCAATACTTTTTTGGAGTTGATCTTTTTACAGCTGTTACTTGATTTATACTCAGTTTGGTTTGCTATTTCACAATCAACAGACTAACTCCGAAACAACGGTTGACATAATCGCCTAGCAGAAACCGTAATTCGAGTACCCATGGATCAGTTTGGCAACAAGTTTACTCTAGTTGATAATGTGTTTCCCAGAGAGGCCGTACAGTGCACACCGAAGACGTTATCATTGCTGATATACGGCCCCAATGGCTGCGAAAAATGGTCGAAGCTTTGACCTCTCGGCTGGAATTTACTTGAGCTAGTCGCGGGTATCACTTGCTCTAAATTATTTTTGAAGCATAATGACAAGCCCTTGTCTGTATAATAAAGTTGAAATCTTGGCCAAATATTAAAATTTATGCGTTTTATTTCTTCTTGAAAACCACATGTCTGAAAAACACCCTTAACTATACGATTGGATTAATTTTTTAGTCGGGGCGAAAACAAGCTCTAAATTTCTAATTTCCAATTCTATTGTACTTCATATTCCATTTACACCTAAGTTATGCCCTTAAACCGCTTGCGTTTTGTTATCTCACTCCACATGCTATTTTTAGTTTTAATTATATGTTGCTGTTGTTGTTTTAATGCTGTCGTACTTTGTTGTGAAACATCAAAAACACAATCGAAATATAATTATGCGCTAAAGCACAGCAGGTGGTACACAGCACGCATATAAATTAGTTAAATTTTCAAGTGCTTGTAGCATGTTTCTAGACGGCACAACGTATGTAATACCATAAACGCTGTTGTCTTTTGTGTGTCTGCTGCAATTATGCCGACACTTTGCTTTGTTGTAGGTAAACTCACTTTGGCATTAATTAAAAATAATTTGATTAAACGCAGATTTTCATTTAGCAGGTGGTGTAATTTTTTGATGGTAAGGGCTTAAGTACGAATGCCTTAGCGGCATGAAGGTGAAGACCAGCATAGGTGTGGGTGTAAAGTTTGCGTAAAGTGGGTATACAATTGAATTAGTCGTTATTTAAGCTGTAAAGGTATTGCCTAGTATTGTGTTCGGTTTGTAAATATTTCTTTAGTGAAATGTATACACTAGCAGACATTTTAAAGGTGTTAGCCACAGGTTTCATATATTTTATGAATGTTAACTGAACGATCTTTCAATAGCTTTTTTTATTTACCTCGACCCGACCAGTTTCTAGAACATGAACATAATTTATTTTTCAAGGTGCAGTCGACTCAAAGTACTGCTATAGCAGTTTTTACAACAACAACTTTCATATAAGGCAAGGTGAAAAGTTCGAATCGTTTCTTGCATTGCGTCCATACATTTTGGTTTGACAAACGGACTGGTTTTCCGACAGATATTGGATTCAGATATTCATTGACATTGAAAGTTGGTGTCACGTGAGCTCATTGCATGAATTGGATTTGGAATTGCTCAAGAACACTTTCCTGTTCTCAGATCTCCAAAAAACGCTTGCTAGTAAAAGTCGCCGAAGTTGAGAAAGCCTTCATACCACAACAATGATGTCGAAAATTTTGAAAGCCGCTATAAACCGATGGCAACCATGTAGTACTATGTAAATAATGCATAAATATTTTCTGTGATTGGAACTAGGACTGGACAGTAAGAGCCATGACAGTCTGGTTTACGTAATCGTCACGGACCTACATTTATCCGACCAACGACACTTGACTCGGCATTATTGCTCAAACTTTTTTTGGGGAATGTTTTTTGCCACCACAACAACAGCAGTTTGGATGATAGGTATGATGTTGTTAGGTATGAACGGTTCGACCAAGAAAGTAGCAGTGTCAGAAACCCTCTAACCATGTGCACCTATTGGTAGTTTTCTTATGAAGGCCTAATATTCGAATTTATCCGACTTCTCTTCTTCCTTTACTGCTTTAAACTGGCCTCATATCTCATTAGGATGGTGTTTGTAATTACTATTTGGTCAGAGCTTGGACTCCTTCTATAGTAGATCTTGAAATTACTGTCATTCAATGAAGTCCAAAAATGTTCAATTGTGTTTTTATACCCTGAACAGAGTATATTAAGTTTGCTACGATGGGTTACAAACAAAAGTCGGAAACATTGGAGACGCGATAAAATATATATGATATATGTATAAATGATCAGCATGACGAGCCGATTCGATTTAGCTATGTCCGTCACTTTGTCCGCCTGTCCGTCTGTATGTATGTACACAAACTAGTCACTCAGTTTTTGAGATATCCATCTGAAATTTTGCCTTTGCAAGTTTCTCACGAAAAACCGGCTCATTTATCAGAACCGGCTGATATCGGACCATTATATAGCTGCTATAGAAACTGACTGAACTAACTACTCAAATAAATGTCCTTGTGTAGAAAACTTTTTTGTTTGACGAGATATCTTCACAAAATTTGCCATGGAGTATTTTTCAAGACAGATATACAATCTCCGAAGTAATTGTTGAGATTGGATTACTTTAGCATATAACTGCTATACAAACTGATCGATCAATATCAAAATAAAGATCTTTTTATACGCTTTTATGTTATATGATATGTATCGAAGTGAAATATACTATTATAAGGATCTCAGAGAAATATTAGTTTTTAACTTCGGATCTGAAAACTTCATTCCATGGAATGCATTCTTGGGAAAGAAAAGGCTGCCCAACAAAAAGTTTTTTTTTTTAATTCAATATTAGTCTATATTGTCACCTCAAACGTGACAGGAGTATGTCAAAAAATTCAAATTTGCAGTCGTAGTTGCCTAAATAATATAAAGGGAAGCCGCTACTCAAATTTTTCAAAATTAAAGATATTAGTAGAAAGTCAGAGTTTTTCAGCGGTGGAGAGGAAAACTGATGAATCGAGGCATAGTTAAATATTTGCTAATATAATTTGATATCGTAGATATATAAATTATGCATCGAACTTCTAGTAAGAGTATGACGTATAATTTTGCTGGTAAACATTCGAATTGAGTGAAGGTTGTGAAAATTGGCAGTTCCAGTTTTGTTTTTATCAATAGGTAGTTTTTCTATGATAGTGATATAATGAAATTTTTTTAAAATTGTTAACAAGTTATCGCACAAAACCGTGTATATTTGACCTTAATCAGATCAGGCTAATTATGCCAAATAAAACTCTCAATTTAATGCAAAAATAATGGATTTATTTTTACTAGACTTTACATATATTATTTGAAGCCGGCCATAGTCAAGTATTTTGAATGTGTAACAATCTTGCGGTAGCTCTCGATTTCAAAGCTACGCTGAGGTCAAAAATTTGTAAGTTTTTTGGTTGATTGAAAAGTCGAAAAGCCGTCTGATCGCAAGCGACAACAAAAAAAATATTATTGCGTTAATCTGAGGGCTAATTCTCAGTCCAAAACAAACTTTCCTTAAAAGTGTAAAAGACCTTTTCTCAGACTTTAAACGGTTAAGCATCCTTCCTTTATCGCATGATGTCACTGGGATTGTGCTACATATGAGAAAAGAATCAAGGTGGAAATTGTAAATGTATGCTTTTAACTCAAAAATAAGTTTTTGTTTTAGAATTTTATGCCCTAGCTTTTATTGCAGCACAATTTAAATAAGAATGAGATTTTTAAAGCCTTCTCAAGAGAAACCTAATTCAACTATATACATATTTTTATCATGCACGTATACTACTTATCAATACTGTTGAGAAATCATCACAGCTGCGCAATTCTTTTCTCTTTTCTTCAACCACACATGTGCCACACATTTTCTTGGCAATTTGTTGATGCCTTAACTCCGCTCACATCCGTTTTGTTGCTTTTCGCTTTCTTTGCTTAATTTTAGCTACTTTTCTACACGCTAACACACACACGCAGATATAAATCCGTAAAAAATCTAAACCCCATCACTCCCTGCAACAGGCCGCTCACGCGCACATTTTCACGTACGAATTAATTACGGCGTGCGTACGTGTTTGGCATATTTTTAGGCGCTAACACACGTTGCAACTCATTTACTGCTGTGCAAACACATACACACGTACATGTATACTTGTAGCGACGTCATCACATGTTTTACAGTGACTTTTTGCTGTTTCTTGCCTAAGAAAAACTGCTAAATACTGAAGTTTCCAAAGTTTTTACTCGCAATTTCTTTGCAAGTGTTTGTGTGTGCGCGCTGCGACTGTGCTGAGGTTGTCAAAAATTGACAGCTTGTTCATTTTTCGCTAAGATTCTCTTGTTTCTTTTGTTTCAACATTTGTTGCACATTTGCGCTCGCTTCGCATAAGTTTTGTCACATGAAAAAGTTTGCGCCCGAATAGGTCTAAATAAATTGTATGCATGTCGGGAGGCATGTAGGCACGCGTCATCAAGCTAACATTTGCTTTTCGTACACTTTAAGGAAATATAATAGTAAGCAATTTTCGTTTTTTCCGACATAAAAATTGTTATATTCATGCCTTGAAATCCGCTCTAAATTGACTTCTACATTAATTTACTGATGCGGTCATCATCATCTATCGAAACTGCACAGCAAATGATTTGAGACCAAAGTCGCTTTCCGTTTCGAGCTCGCCCCTGCCTCTCTCTATCTATCTCTCTTTATCTCTACATCTGCCTTCTTCGCTCTTTTTCTTTCACTACTACTAACTCTCTCTCATTCGCTTTCTGTCTCTCCCTCTGTTAGTACGAGAACTAAGCCAATACAAATCGCAAAACTATTTTTCTCAGTTTTCGTATACCCAATTAGAGAAGATTTTATATATGGTATGTATTAACATTTAAGCAGCCGCAGCCTATATATCTGGCTTAAAACGCTTAAGAAGTGTGTGTGAGAAAGGCTCCTGAAGTTTTCTTGTTGTTTAGATACTCTGAGAAGTTTTACAAGCTGTCTCATAACTGATTTTGTTACGATGTCATCAGGCTAATGCTATATATGAAAAGAGAATCTACGATTTATGTTTCATGTATATGCATCTTCTTGATAGTAGATTAAATTCTGTTGCTAGAATTGCACCAATCGCTGGGAAATTAGAACTCGAGCTCAGTTTTATTACACAGGCTATTAAGAGGACTTCATACTTTATATAGACGTAAGTAATCTGTAAGCAAAAATTACATTTTGTGTCGATAGTTTGATTTCGATTCCGTTATATTATGGCTACATTCAATGCACCGATTTCGGTTGTAGGTTATAGGGACCGATGTAGGAGTATCCCGAATCTATGGAGTTTTTTCTTTCAGTGTTTTTAATTATAATTATTCTTCTACGGCTTAGCAAAGTTTGTCAACTTCTTGCGCCTAAAAATTTACAATACAACAGCTGTCTTTTTTATGCCACATGAGTTAAATACACCCATTCATACATACATACATAGATTTAAGTGCATACATAAATTTTAAAACATGCTGAAAAGTTTTTGAGTGAAAAAGTGCGTAATTATTTATGAAACTCTCTTGGTAAATGTGTATGTGTTAGTTAACAAGTTTAACGGAATATACCTACATACATATGTATGTATGTGTATATGTATGTATGTATATTATATATCCAAAAACCAGTCGAGGTTACTTTAAAATATATTAGATTTC